CTTATCATATTCAGCAGGACTTCGTAATTCTAATGGCTAGACCGCGTGGATTGTACGAGCGAAACCGTATGAATTGAAGTGGCTGCACTGTGGTCCCTAAGTATGGTCTCGTGAATTCCTTGTGTGGTTCATCGATGCTGTTAAGGTAGGTGCAAATATGTGGAAAACATTGAAGCAACAGTGCGACTATGTTGTTAACGGAATAACAGTACCGGTTTGATTGCAGGAGCCGAACGTTTTTCCCTCTCGGGGGAATAGTTGAAACTACGTCACAACAGTTCATCGGCCATAAGCTCGGATTGGTTCCTACAGTACTAGGAATGAGACCAAGGTTGCGAATTACGCTCACTTGCAAACCAAGTTGGTCTTAACAAAAGACTTAGTCCAAACGCAATTGAACAAAATAGACATATTTCTCAAAGTGCGCTTTTCGATAGAAGGTAAGTTTGACACAAAATGGTAGGCTGCGTCCACTTTGGAAATTTCAAGACGGGACTAGCCGGTCTCCAGTTGTTGACAAAGCTTCAACGTTCGTACACGCCAAGATGCATTTGATAAGTTGTCGCCAAAAATTTCCGACGTAGATTTACATGCGTCTTTCTACTGGTCCGCTTCCATCGGTCTGATTCGCTCTGGTTTCCAGCAAGCAAGTCAGGTTCAGCTAGCTGACAGTTCGACTAAGCTAAATCGCGTCGACCACATATTTGCACGCGGTCAGAGTTTACAGCAACGCTATATGTAGAAACAAGCCATAGGTGGTTACTGATCTGTTTGTCCAGATCGCCAAATGTAACCAAAAAGCAGCGCATTCTACAAAACTGCCACAGTAATGCAGTCCTCATATTTTTCATATTCACGATTTCCCGATTCCATCATTTGGCCGAAGTATACGGCTGCTCGAGTTCAACAAAGGATTACTCGAGAGTACTAGGAAACAATACGGCCTGCAAACTCACATGGAATAGAGCTTTTGAGGGCTCAGGAAGTCATGTAAACTCATCAAACACAATTTCATCTTCATCACTCATCTGATCGATCGCTTCGCTTTCTTTTCACCCCTGTTGTTACGCCTGCTGGTTACGTACGACAAACTTGTAGGCCTCGTGCATGCCAATAAATTTGTTCTAGAAAGCCAGAACAAACATCACGCACAAGCGCTTTTAAATGAACCGACCAAACACGCATCACTTTCAGGTTGTGCTCAGGTCACAAACCAAAGTCTTGTGGTTTCATCCATGCAGTTGCTGAGAGGCTTTTCAATCTGTTGAGAACAAATAGCGGTTGTGGAGATTAACTAGGTCGGTGCACCACTTCAAACAAAAGTGCCACAGGGGGAGAAACCAAACGAAAATCCAAATTGTTGATATCATGTTTGCAGCATCTAGAAGGCAACTACTATGTTTTCACTAACCATGTGCACCATTTCATACAAATGGGTGTCTTTCCTTCATTTTGACCTTCCTTCATTTGGTCATAATTTGTGAAAGTTGTTAGCTGATTTTAACAGACACGTACCGGGGAAAAGCTGAGCTTAATTCTGTGGCGGATACTGCAACCAAGTGATACAACCAGCACCACCATCTGCGGTAGCTCTGCAGGGTGATGAGAGTGGAGAATCCCTAACTGGCTTGAAAGTAATTCTATGAGAACTATTCCACTTGTGCAAATAATTAAGTGGTACATAGCGTTTAAATTCTGTTTCGAATTATCCCACCTAAGGAGAGCTTCTCAACACTCAAAATTTTCCGGACTACTTTCTGGCAGGTAGTTATTTTGCGTTTGCATGCACATGTTCCGTTTTGCGACAAGCCACTTGGCATCCTCAAAACAAATTGTTTTCATAATTAAGTAGAGATTAAATTATTAAGTTTTTGCCTGAACTATGTAGCCAAGCTTTTATTCGGGATTTTCACCCGAAATGAAGTCAACCTTATTGATTGATCTTTCCAGTATGCAATTTTGACGGCCAAAACTTGTCCACTGTCCTTTTAATTCCAGGTGTCTGCTAGTCCATGTAGGCGTAAAAAGTTTGCATTCCTTTTCCTGGCGTTTGTAACCTATGGAGGCGTTATACTTCCGTTCCGTTTGTGTTGATAAAGTAGATTTCCGTCTATGCCATTAGAATCCTTTTTGATAAAGTATTCATTGTTCAGTCATCTTCAAGTCTGACGGGTTGCATTGAGAAGAGTTTAAAGACAGCTTCTTTTCTGACAGTTCGGAGGGTGCTGAAATATTTCAGATGGTCGGTGGGCATTGTCTTGAGTATACCTAGTTTACAGGTGACCATTTTCTATCTCTGTGACCAGCACAATGAGAAACGCCAATTTGCTATTTCCAGATTTGTTGTGGAGAGGATGTCAGAAACAATTGGCACAGCGTTCGCTCTTGAAATTTCATTTTCTATACAATGGCGACACGAAGCCGTACACACATCTACCCCGTATTATCGGTTTCTTTGCTGGTAGCACAATGTGCACAACTTCGGTTGCATTTTAATATCCGAAATAAATGCAGATATTATTGACGTTATTAGAGCTCATTTGAGGTGTTCACAATGGTCAATAGTAAACTCAAATTAGTGCAAAGTAAACGCTAACGTGCCAGTTGGTATCGCAAGGCGGGCCTTGCCAATGAATACCCAAATTAAACTGTTGGAGATATCAATATCCCCCCCCCCCAAAAAAAAACTCTGTATTTTTATGTGTGCTAGCGAACTTCCGGCATCTTCAAGGTCAAACTATGAATATATATATGCATTGTCATTTTTTCCCATGATCGCCTGTTGACCGCATGTTGTTGGGTCATTAAAGAGTCTGGATCAAGCAACATAGCTGCGGATAGAGTATTGCCACGATCCGCATATCATATTGTTTTGCTCGCAGCGTGATCGAACCGTAACATATTTGGCGACGCAAGGTGAAGGCAGAACAACTCAAAGTAATGTTTGAGCAACAAATGCAACTCATCAAGGTACTTACGGAGCGACTATCAACTACATCTTTGGCTTCACCGGCTGCGTCGAGCGTCCCACAGTCGGTTGATGGAATCGCTGGCAGTATCAACGAATTTCGCTATGAACCCTCAGCTGGCATGACGTTTGATGCTTGGTTTCGTCGCTATGAAGACCTCTTCAGGGTAGATTTTTCACTTCAAGATGATAGTTGGAAGGTTCGCCTCCTGCTCCGCAAACTTGGACCCGCAGAGCATGATAAGTACGCTAACTATATTCTGCCAAAAAACCCGCGCGATTTCACTTTTGATGAAACGGTCAACACGCTTTCACAAATATTCGGTGAGCAAACGTCACTTTTCAACATCCGTTATCGATGCATGAAGCTAGTGAAGAGTGATGCAGACGACTTCCTCACATATTCTGGCATCGTGAACCGAGAATGCGAACGGTTCAAACTCGGATCGTTAACGGAAGATCAGTTCAAGTCGCTGATTTTCATATGTGGTCTACAATCCCCGAAGGATGCAGAAATCCGTACCCGACTCCTCAGCCGCATCGAGCAGGACCCATCCATGACGCTGCAGGCCGTCACCTCGGAGTGTCAACGGTTGCTTAACCTGAAGCATGACACCGCGATGGTCCAACTCGGGGGTCATGGCGGTTCCGAGGTTCATGCAATACACCAGGATACGCAACAGCCTGGCCCTGTCAATTCTGGCCCAACCAAATCGACCTCGCAGTGTTCTGGTCCGAAGCAAAACAAAGGCTCAAAGAAGACACCACCTTCACAATGTTGGCACTGTGGAGCCTGGCACTTCGTCAGGTTCTGTCCTTACAAGAAGCATCGGTGCCGCCAATGTAAGTCCGTGGGACACAAAGATGGATATTGTCAGTCACTGATGCATACGGCCTCTGCTGTTTCAAAGCAATCATCACGCATCCGTCCCAAACCGAAATCGAACCCTGTTGGCTCCTCTCTCAGTTTGCTGGCTACTTTCCAGATCAACACGCCAGGTAACCGGAAGTATCTGACAGTCACCGTAAATGGTCATCCAATCCGTCTGCAGTTGGACACTGCGTCGGACATTACCATCATTTCGGAGAGGCTTTGGCGCACGCTCGGGCAACCTCCGATCAGACAAGCAGCTCGAACTGCAACCAGTGCCTGCGGTGGAGAGTTAAAACTTTCCGGTGAGCTCCAGTGCTGTGTATCTTTTCGAGGAACTACATTTGTGGGGTCGTGTTATATAACGGCAACTGAGTTGAACCTATTGGGTCTTGATTGGTTCGATCGCCTTGGGTTAGCCGACATTCCAATCAGCGCCGTTTGCAATGCAGTTCAGTCTCCTACAGCGCATCCAGATCATGCATCCGACATTATGGAGCGATTTCCAATTGTTTTCCAGTCCGGTCTCGGTCAGTGCACTGCGACACAAGCAGTCCTCCACCTCGTGCCGGGAGCTACGCCAGTCTTCCGTCCAAAGAGACCAGTTCCGTACGCTTCCCTCCCACTGGTAGATGCCGAACTTCAACGGTTGGAAGAACAAGGCGTTCTGTCCCCTGTATCCTACTCTGCCTGGGCAGCGCCGATCGTTGTAGTAAAGAAACCTAACGGTGGCATCCGCATATGCGCCGATTTCTCAACCGGCCTAAATGCAGCTATCCAGCAGCACCATTATCCACTACCAGTACCCGACGATCTATTCACTGTTCTGAACGGTGGGAAGTTCTTCGCCAAAATCGACCTGGCTGAAGCGTACCTTCAAGTTGAAGTCGCACCAGAATCACGCCCACTACTGACAATCAACACACACCGCGGGCTGTATCAGTACAACCGTCTTCCGTTTGGCGTCAAAACCGCCCCAGCAATTTTCCAGCAATTGATGGACACCATCCTTTCTGGCATTCCAGGTGTGGTCGCATACCTGGACGACGTGCTGATCGTTGCTGTTTCCCCCGAAGAGCTTCGTGAGCGAATCAATGCCGTCTTACTGCGCATTCAGGACAATGGCCTCCGCCTCCGTCCCGAGAAGTGTCAATTCTTCTTGACAACTGTGAAATATCTTGGGTTCATTTTTGACGCCTCTGGTCGCTATCCTGACCCGGAAAACGTTCGAGCTATACAGCAGATGCCACCTCCTAAGGATGTACCATCATTACGTTCCCTTTTGGGGTTAATCAGCTACTATTCGGCATTCCTGCCTTCGTTGCACGACATCCGGCCCCCGCTAAATCGGTTGCTTGGAAAGGATGTCCCCTGGTGTTGGTCAGACGAATGCGAGGAAGCATTCTGCAAACTAAAGACGATGCTCAGTTCTGATCTGCTACTTACCCACTACGACCCAAAGCTGCCGATCGTTGTGGCAGCTGATGCCTCTAATTTTGGTGTCGGTGCCGTCATTCTACACGTCTTTCCAGACGGATCGGAGAGGGCCATTATGCATGCGTCGAAATCACTAACCCCAGCAGAACAGCGATACGCACAGATAGAGAAAGAAGCGTTGGCCTTAGTGTTCGCGGTTCGGCGTTTCCACAAAATGTTGTATGGCCGCCGTTTCACCCTACTTACCGATCATAAACCATTGCTCTCCATTTTCGGCTCAAGGAAAGGTGTTCCCGTACACTCTGCCAACCGCCTGCAAAGATGGGCCCTGATTATGCTGGGTTATGACTTCGATATTCAATATCGACGCACCACCGACTTCGGTCAGGCCGATGCATTATCTCGGCTGATCAACAACCAGCCAACACCCGAAGAAGACACGGTTATTGCGCATGTTGCATTTGAGGACCCAGCCGACCCACAGTTGGTCCAGTCCGTTCGTGCCCTGCCCGTGACAGTAACAGAGGTTCAAAGAGCTACCACAGCTGATGGAACGCTTCAAAAGGTGATCCGATTCATGAATTCTCGGTGGCCTTCGAATCTCAAAGATGATTCCCTTCGACAGCTCTTTCATCGCCGAGATGCATTAGCGATCGTAAAAGATTGTTTAATGTTTGGAGATCGCGTGGTGATTCCGCAACCTTTACGCCATCGAGTTCTTCGTCAGTTCCATTCTGGACATCCAGGAATCAACCGTATGAAGTCAATAGCTCGCAGTTACGCATACTGGCCGCACATGGACCAGCACATCACTGATTTTGTAAAACGCTGCTCCCGATGTCAACAAGCTTCAAAGAATCCGCCACACCAACCACCGGTTCCCTGGCCTCGACCTGAAAAGCCCTGGTCTCGGATCCACATTGATTACGCAGGACCGATAAATGGCACTTTTTATTTGGTTTTGATTGACGCTTTTTCCAAGTGGCCAGAAATCGTTCCGGTGTCATCTCCAACAACATCTAGTACGCTGAGAGTGTTATCCAACATTTTCAGTCAGCATGGATTACCGGAGTCCATAGTCTCAGACAATGGTTCGCAGTTCACCTCTGCTGAGTTCCGCGACTTCTGCACTCGACATGCGATAACACACGTTCGTTCACCACCGTACCACCCACAATCGAACGGTCAAGCAGAAAGGTTCGTCGACACATTCAAGAGGGCTTTGCTTAAAGCTCGAGGGGAGGAGACATCCGTCGAAGCCCTTCAGAGATTCCTGTTTGTGTACCGAACGACCCCGAATGACGCTTTGGCAAACCACCAGTCACCTGCAGAGGCACTCATGGGCCGTAAACTTAGAACTGTGCATTCTTCCATGTTGCCAACACAACCTACTGAGTCAAGGTCCATACCGGTGGCAGTTGGAACTCCATTCAAGGTGGGAACGCCCGTGCTTGTCCGTGACTATCGCCAAGGACATGATTCATGGATTGCAGGTCGTATCCTGCGCAAACGCGGTAGTGTAATGTACGACGTGTCGGTTGGCCAAGACCCCTGGACCAGACATCAAAACCAACTCCGCTTTAACAGCACGCCGGAAACTCAAGTATGTTCGGTACCGTACCGTTGGACATATTGCTCGATAGTTTTGAGCTGAAAACTGAGACAGCTTCGAAAGAGGGGAGTGTGACCGGCAGCTCAGTATTTGACTCAACACTTCTTCCCAGGCGGTGGACAGAACGCCGCCGCCGCCAGCCGGAACGTATCCAGGTTGACCCCCGTCGAGTATGTTACTGACTTGTCACAAGGGGAGTTATTGGGGATATCAATATCCCCCCAAAAAAACTTTGTATTTTTGTGTGCTAGCGAACTTCCCGCATCTTCAAGGTCAAATTATGAATATATATATATATATATATGTATATATGCATTATCATTTCTCCCATGATCGCCTGTTGGTCGCGTGTCGTTGTATCATTGAAGTTTGTGTCCGATTTTTTTCGTTTTCCTACTGTGCGCCGTGCTACCAGTCTGGATCGAGCAACATAGCTGGGAATAGAGTATTGCCCCGATCCGCATATTACATTGTATTGCTCGCATCGTGATCGAACGGTAACATAAACAGCCTGGGTTCCTTCCAATTATCTGATGCTCCTTCTATCTGACCTTCGCACATGGGAAGTACTGTTATCTTCCTATCTACGGCTGGCCTTCTGGCGCCCACGTTTTTTCCGAGCTCTCACATCATCGCCTCCCAGCTCATGTGAACACAGATTTGTAAAAGGCCACAACCCAATTTTCTGTCGACTATACATCATAATCACTATCGGCAACATCGCATCAGTGTTCAACACCGATGCCTGTTGTCGGCTAGCTCGAGGCACGATATGTTAACAATGCGTACAGTATCGTTGCATTTGTCGATCAGTGACGTAACATGAGGAGCATAGCATTCGAACCGGCTGCGTTTCAAGAGATTATGATAGCCTCATTCAGGCTGAGCTTATCGAAGTGCTCCTCGCACCTCTCCAATTCCCAAAGTGCCTCTCTTTTCCCTGTAGTAGTTCCGCCTTTCGCAGCAGGTGGGTGAAAATTGCTGAAGTTGTCGTTTTGTTTTGCACGGCTTTTTCCGGAATAAAGGGCTTTAAAAACGCTCTACAAAGCCTCTCCATAAGTCACGCGGCGACCTTTATTTCCCGCCCCATGTGATAGCGGAGCATGGACGCTGGGCAATAACTACCTGCATAAATTATGATCAGTAAGCACCGTTACATTTGAAATGAAACTAGTGGGCGCAGTGGTATCGTTTTGTGCAGAATATTCAAAAGTCCACAAAATTGGGCAGGCTCTCGGTTGCCCGTCTTCATTCCTACATACTGAATTGCACAAAAACTGCAGTCATTTTTGTATTTGTGAAACAACTGAGTAGAAAGTTCAAGTTTGGCTCGAAGATGCTCCAACAGGTAAGAATAAATCAACACACTGTTTGTTTTAGTGAAACAACTGTAACACGCTACGCGGTTTCTAATAGAACTTAAACTAAATATTGCGGGTTTGGATGCCACAGAATGCCAAATTATTTGTTAAGAAAATAGTGATATGGCGCACACATTGTCCTCAGCGGTAAACGGAAAAGAGATGTAGAATCGCAAGTAAAACTTGCAAAAACGAAATATCGTTTATGTGGAACTATGTTCACTGGTGATTCACCACCACACTTTCCCTTATTCCACCCCGCCAATGAGGGAGGTGGTGTTGATTTGGATATGCTGAGGCGGTCTAACGGTGCTAATTCAAAAAATTTCTAAAATCTGTTGATCCGTTCAAATCAGGTGA